CGGGGCCGGGCTTTGCTCCGCCGGGAGCCCGGCCCAGCAGAGAGCCGTCTTGGCCGCGGAGGTCCCGGGCCACACAGGGGCAGCGGGGCAGCCCCGGGCTCTTCTCCGGTTCGCGGTGTCTCCGCTCGTGGGGGCTCCTCCCGGAGACAGGCTGGGGGTGTTCAGCTGGGGAAGAGAAGGCTCCGGGGAGACCTCAGAGTCCTTTCCAGTGCCTAAAGGGGCTCCAGGAGAGCTGCAGAGGGACTGGGGACAAGGACATGGAATGACAGGACACAGGGAATGGCTCCCAGTGGCAGAGGGCAGGGCTGGATGGGATATTGGGCAGGAATTGTTCCCTGGCAGGGTGGGCAGGCCCTGGCACAGGGTGCCCGGAGCAGCTGGGGCTGTCCCTGGATCCCTGGCAGTGCCCAAGGCCAGGCTGGACAGGGCTGGGAGCAGCTGGGACAGTGGGAGGTGTCCCTGCCATGGCAGGGAGTGGAATAAGATGAGTTTTAAGGTTCCTTCACACTCAAACCATGGGACTCCATGGATGTGCTCCTGTAGTCACAGGGAATGAAACTATGAGATAAATAAACAGCCAAAAAACCCCATGGTATTTTTTTCCTCATTTCCAATTTGCTCATGCCTCTCGTGTCCTCATTTTCCATCCCTCTGGAGAAGCCTCTGTGCCTGATTGGACACCACCACTAAATCTGGGCTGCACTGTGTGCCCAGCTTCCCCCCAGGAACATCTGGGACCAGCTGCCTCTGGTCAGAATTTTGGCCCCTCCTGACACCTAAGTGTGAAAGCAGGCATTGGTAGCCTGTGGTGGCTGACAGGTTTTTGGTCAACTGAGTTCATTATATTTATTTCTCATCACCTTTAAGACAGTTTTTTACCTTACTTGGAGCAAGAAGCCTTGATATCTCTAAACAGGCTGCATTTCAGTCAACTCGGACAGGAGGTTTTATTAGGTCTGTCTTTCCTGTCTCTGTGTTTTGGATTTAGTTCTAAAACTCAAGTTTCCTCCCATATTTGGGAGGGGAAGGCAGGCTTGTGGTGTGGTTTACATCAGTGTGTTTACTTGTGTTGGGGGACAGTCTAATAATGTGTGAGCAACACAATTTATATGACAATCACCCCCATGCAGTTATAATCAGTTGGAGAAAATACTTTTATTTTCAGTCTCTGGAGATACAGCCAGAACTTTTCGTTCACATGGCAGCAGCAAACTCTTCTCCACCTGGTTCACTGGATCTAAACCAGCCTGGGTTTGCAAAGGAGATCCTGGGAACTAAACTGGAGGTCAAATACCTGTGCTCTGATTGCAAGAACATCCTGAGGCGGCCCTTCCAGGCACAGTGTGGCCATCGCTACTGCTCCTACTGCCTGAAGAAAATCATCAGGTAACTGCTGTGCCTTCAGTGGGAAGGCAAAATGCTTGAAAAGGCGTTTTCAAGAACAAAAGCAGAAAAAAGTGTCTTTTTTAGGACCTTCTTAGAAAGGGAGCTGTGCTCAGTTATTGAGGTTCAGCATCACCTCTTCTCTGAGGGAATGTGTAATCTCTGACTCGCCTTTGTTGTTGCCTCAAAAGTTCTCTTTTCCAGAATCCCCTGCATTGTTTTTGTCATTGAGGAGGGAGTCCAGGTCTATTACCTATCTCCTTCAGTCCTCATCACAGTCCTAAAGTCATCATTTTGTTGTGTCAAAATGGGAGAGGTTTGCGCACAAGCTGTCTTCCTGAGCAGCTTCCTTGTGTTCCGTCTCACTCCTGCCTTTTGAGTGAGGGAAACCTAATATTATGATTAGTTGGCAGAAGAAAAAAATTAGAAATAGGCATCAAAAATACACACAAGCAAAGGCTCAATGTGTTGCTTTAAAAATAAGAAAACATTGTCATTTCATAAAGTTACCAGAAATCAATTTGTTAAATAATACATTAGTTGGTTTTGGTTGTGTTTGATGATTATTTTTCTGTCCTATAGTTCTGGACCTCAAAAGTGTGCCAGCTGTATCCAGGAAGGAATATATGAGGAAGGAATTTCTATTTTGGAAACAAGCTCGGTAAGGAAAAAGGCATCGAAAAAAAACCTAGCCGATCACTGGTGTCAGTAATACCAGTGTCAGTTTTTGTTTGAAATACACGCTCTGAGAACCCCTTATTCCTAGGAACCCTTTTCTTCAGCAGTGGGAAGGGTGATTACTGTTGGACTCCTGAGTGCTGAAATCCAGGTCACGTGTGTGTAGTGGTGCCCTACTTAAAGCTGTCACAGCGATTTGGTTGCTGTTAACGCACCTCTGAGGGTTGATGGGGCAACTGCTGTGGGAGGAGTTTTCAGAAGAATTCAAAGTCCTGATCAAAACTGCAACCCCTCAGTAATATTTGTGGTTTGCTTGTTTTTTCCATTTCAGGCTTTCCCAGATAACGCAGCACGACGGGAAGTGGAGAGTCTGCCTGCTGTCTGCATCAACAGTGGCTGCACCTGGAAGGGAACCATCAAAGAGTACGAGGTACAGGCCAAAGCAAGGCTTGGCATGTCTGCATCCTTTCCTCTGTTTTTGGGGAAGGCTCAGGGTGTTGTCCATGCCTTCTGACAGTGGGGAAAAGTTGTCAAATCCCTGGACTTCACTGTCAGCTGGAGAGGTTCCCTGAGTGAGGGTGTGTGTGCCCTGCTGAGGGCACAGGCTGGACTGAGATTGGTTCAGATTTGCTTGTGTGACCCTTCCATGATGGCAAACACCTGCTCTCTTTGCAACGCTTTTCTGCTATACAAGGCTGTCAAGAAATTGCTGTGCCATGAAATGGTTGTGAATTTATCTGCATTTTGTAAACCTAAAGCTTCAGACTCCATCAGCTCACAGAAAGTGACCTGATCCCATTTCTGCTATCTCCAGAGCTACGAAGGCAGTGGGATTGGATGTTGGGTACTGTCTGGTCACCCATCACCCCAAGCTGTTCTGGGACATAAGGCTGCTGGACAGGAAGGTTTTTCCACCTAGCTTCTCCTCAAGGAGCCTACTAGCTTTTTAATCCAGGTTTTAGTCATGGCTGTGGGTGTTTGGTCCATGACATGTGAATGTATGTGAAGCTTTTGTCTCCTGAGGAAAATTTTGTCATCCCTCTTGGAATGGCAGAACCACCACATGGAAGGCCCAAGATAAGAGGAATACATTTTATTTCCCTCTGACACTTGCTCCAGATAAAGATCATAGCCTGGTGGTTCACAGAACTTTGGTAATGACTGAGATGTGTTTCAGGAACAGGTTTAACCCCGGTCTGCCCAGGCTAACTTTGGGGTTCTCTCAGTGATGCCATTGCAAGGTGGAATGAAGAAGCAATAGCTGTGCATCAGGCCTGAGCATTCTGCCCAGACTGTTGAGCCTGTTACCAGAGACATGCTTCTGCAGCTCTGCTTCCTTGTCCTGCTGTGTGCTCAAAGTTCAGTCCAGGAGATGAGGATATCTATGCTAAATGGTTCTGCTGGTGTGAACTCTCATTTGTACATTTGTGAGAGGCTCATGTTGTGGATGTGGGACTCAAGAAGTGTCAGGTGAAAAGCTTAACATTGCCAAAGCACAGAGTCTGGGGATTCCATGTCAGGGAACAGAGTATGCTGGTACTGAGGTTTCAGGTTCAGGCTGTGCTGGTGGTGCCTGCACATTGTTTGCTCCATGCTTTAATTTTTGCTGGTGCCCAGAAGTCCGATGTCTTCTGCAATGATTGTAGTGAGCTCATCTTCATTAGACTAAACTAAATTACATCTGTCAGCAACTTCCAATGCTGATTGTACTGTGGCTGATGAGCCCTGATGAGAACTTTTTCTTCTGGTTAAAAAAAAAAAAGTCAGCGTTTTCCTGCAGAGCTCAGCAAAAATCTTCAGCTGCCAAAAGTTCTCCCTATGCATTCTGATAAGTGTTTGAGTGCTGAGTCTGGCCAGAGTTCAGAAGTTCTGGGAGTTCAGAAGGGCAGCAAGCTGTTCTGGGATCAGGGCTGCAGGAGTGTGTGATGCCCCAGAACCTTGCACACAGCTGATGAAGAGCTCCTCAATGGATGAGTCTGTGCCTTGTTTTCACTCTCCACCTGATCTTCCCAAGCCTCTTCCCAAAGTTTGGCGTTTGCTGGGACAAAGGATAATTGGTAGAGGTGTGGCCCTGGAGTGCGTGGGCTGTGGGTCTGTGGCACACATCTTCCCTGCCAGAGATTTTTGTGAGTCTTGAGGAGTTCTGTGTGGTACAGGGGGTGTGGGGGTTTTCAGCAGTGCTGCCTGTTTCCTCTCGGGCTGAGTCGCCTCTCCTGCCCGCCCTTGTGGCATTCAGCATAAGGAAGGAGATTATTTTGTGCCCTCTCAGGAAAAGCTGACTCTTTCCTAGGAACTGGTGGGAGGAGGCAAGGTCTGGCTTGTGTTATCTCCTCCCAGATGCCTGCAAAAAGCAGAGGCATTTAATCAGGACTGGCTGTCCCCACGCTGCCAGAGCCAGGCGTGTGGCTGAGGAGGGCTGGGAAAGGAGGCGTTGAACGGCTGCAGCAGCCCAGAGCCTCTCGGTACCTTGGTTAAACCCAGCCTTCAGGGCCACAGTGCAGAGCTGCCTGCTGCAGAACTGCTGCATCTGTGGCTGCGCCCTGGGTAACGTCCTGCAGCAGCGCAGCACTCCCACTCTGGAAAGTCCCTCAGAGCTATTTCCGACAGGACATGGAAAGTCCCTCAGAGTGAATTCACTGTTTGCTAATTTAAAAATCTTCTGTTGTGCTGAGAAAGGCTGCTCTCCCCTTTCAAATCTAGAGATACTGTCGCTTCTGATTTGCTAATCCTATCAGGGCACACAGAGGGGAAAAATGTACTGTAGCTGGAAAGCTCAAGCCTCAAAAACAGGAGTAAAATGGATTTTAGTTTTGCTTTCTGTTCAGGTGGACTAAAGTTTGGCTTTCAGGGAAACATGAAACTGAATGCGTGCAGTCTGCTTGGACATGACTTAGACTTCTGCTTCAAGCTGTGTAGACCATATGAAATTTAAGTCTGGATCTATGTCTGCATTTTTCAGAGTCTGTAAATATTTAGTGGCATTTGGATAGAGTAGTTTGTGGCGGGGACTGGAGGGTTTTTCCTTTTATTAGTGACCTTGTTTGCTGTTGAATCTGTCTGCATGTGCATTTGGAAAATGAGGCTGTGGGCATGAGTCTTTAGATTCAAGAGCAAAGTCAGAGGAGAGCTGCAGAAACTAAACCCAGCCCATTAAAACAGGAGGAAAAATATCAAAAACGGTCCCAGTGATATCCAGGAGAGGGAGTTTGTGGTTCCTCAGCTCTGGTGTGTTTTTCTTCCTGCCTTACAGTACCTCTAGCTGCGCACGTCCATCTATATGTTTATCAACATACTGTTGTCAGTTTTCATACACCTTTTATTTATGCTTTTCATCCCAGCAGTTCCCTTCCTGTGCCCTCCCCCCAGGATTGGGATGGGAGGAGGGGGCTGAGGAGGGGTACACACGGGGTCAGTTTTGGCATTCCCCTTGGTTACCCCAGACAGGGGATTTAACTCAGCCTTCTTCAGCTGGAAACAGAATTAACTGAGACATAAGGAAATGAAATTGTTCAATTTTAGGAAGGAGAACTAAGTTTTAAACTTACACATGACATCACTATTTAAACTAAGTTTTGTGGGGCTCAAATGAGCTCAACTCCTGAGGCTGAGCAACAGTCAGGTGTGGGAACAAGCTGGTTTAACCCATGTGGCAGGGAATGTGCTTTCCTCGAGTTTGTTGTTGTCTCTTTGGTTTTAGAGAGTTCTTTGTAAGTGAAATGTGAAAGGCTGCAGAAAATGCAAAACTCCAAAGCCAAGTGATGTTACTCAAAAGCCTGTGGTGCCAGAAAGGATGTCTGCAGCTTTTCCCTCTGTATTCCTGCACTCCCCTGCACAGCTGCAGTGCAGAGAGCTGCACTTGCTGTCCCAGATGAAACTGCCTTATCCTGCTACCAGAGTGTCCGGAGAGAAACTTTGTCTGCAAATACTGCAAATTTTAAAAATATACAGTTTTTCTGCTTTCCTGATACTGAGGTGGGAAATTCCCAGTACACGCAGACAGCTCCACTTGCCAGTGGGCCTGCAGGCAGAGGGGAGAGCTCAGCACCTTTAAGCAACCTGGAGAAGAGAAGTCTCTGGGGAAACCTCACTGCAGCATTTAAGTGCTTCAAGGAGGCTTGTAAAAAGATGCAGAGAGACTTTTTACATGGGCAGATGGTGACAGGAAAAGGGGGAGCAGTTTTAAAGTAAAAGAGGAGAGATTTAGATTAGATGTTAAGAGGAACTTCTTCCCCGTGAGGGTGGTGAGCCCTGGCACAGGGTGCCCAGAGAAGCTGTGGCTGCCCCATCCCTGGAAGTGTCCAAGGCCAAGCTAGATGGGGCTTGGAATGACCTGGGACAGTGGAAGGTGTCCCTGCCCATGGCAGTGGGGTGGAATGAGATGGACTTTAAGGTCCCTTCCAATCCAAACCATTCCCTTATTCTGTGATTTCCCTCACACACAGCTCCTGACTCTGATCCTTTCAGTTACCCTGGTCCTTCCATGGGCAGTGGTGTCTGATTTTCTAACCTTTCTGGTCATTCCAGGGAATGGTGGGTGATGTGCAGGCTGCTGTGAGGTCGTGTCACTTTATTATTAGGGAAAGAAATTGATGTGTGGATCAATCAGCAGCTTTGGTTGTAATTGAGTGGGAAGAGTTAGGTGTTAGTGAAGGCTGTTGACTCTGCCCCATTTGATTTTCCTGCTTCTGCTGTTGGAAGCTGCAGGCTGGTGTGTGCCTCGCTGGGTAGCTCTTGTCTTCCAGCTTCACTTTAATTCTTCCATGGCTGTCCCCTCCCTCTGACAGCTGTCCAATTCGGTTTCCCTCTAGGAGAGTGCCTGCTCTTGCCTAGCCCCCTTACAGCCATGGCTTTCTAGAACTCCCAAAAAGTTTCCAAGTAAGTGCCTGGATGTCAATGGTGCTTATCCCTGTAGCAGAAGCTACAGCTGTGGATTTGGGAAAGATAGAAACAGGAGGATTGTGCCATTGCTGGGGGAGTGGAGTGTGGCAGATCAGGCTCTAGTGCCAGCCCTTGCTCTTGGCTCCAGGCTGAGTTGGATTTCTTCCAGCAGTGATACCATCCATCTCTGTTCTGACACCCACGTGGGGCGGGAGGAACAGGGGTTTCCAGAAGAGCTTGAAACTGTTTATACAGAAATGTTTGGATCTGCGCTGGCTGAAGCTTCTGGGTGTCTTTAACCATTTACATACAGAACAGTTGCACTTTGAGCTCAGAGGGGCAGTTTTCCTTCCTGTGCTGCAGGCAGGACTGCCCACTCTTGGGCATTACATCGTGGTGCAGAGGGCAGTCAGGATGGAGGATAAATGCTGCGAGGTGGGGAGTGCAGAGGGGGTGGTAGTTTCACACCCGTCATGTTGGCATGGGAGACCATAAGTTTAAAATACTCCCTTTTAAAATAGTTGCCTCTGCAGTGAAGTTTCCTTCTTTCAGCCAGACCATCTGTTCTGCCAGTGCTTTGTGGGTCATGGGGTAGATATTATTGGGTGTTTCTAGAATATGAGAGCAGTAGGTGGGTAGAAGAAAGGGCTCAGCCTCTTTGAGTGAGTGGGATAAAGGCGGGCACTTGGCCTCCTCCTCCTCCTCCTCCTCCTCTGCGGGCAGCAGCGTCCGTGGGGACAGCAGCGTCCGTGGGGACAGCAGCGTCCGTGGGGACAGCAGCGTCCGTGGGGACAGCAGCGTCGTGGGGACAGCAGCGTCCTGGGGACAGCAGCGTCCTGGGGACAGCAGCGTCCGTGGGGACAGCAGCGTCCTGGGGCAGCAGCATCCGTGGGGACAGCAGCGTCCTTGTGGGCAGTGTCCCTGTGAGCAGTGTCCTGGGGACAGCAGTGTCCCTGTGGGCAGTGTCCCTGTGGGAGCAGTGCCCCCCAAACCTCGCTGGCTGACCTGTCTCTCCAGGGACACACTGTGAAGCTCTGAGCTTAAGTTACTCACCTAAAGCATAAAAGGAGAGAGTGACCGAGAAGCTGGAGTGGAGCTGCTGCTGGTTTCACTTTCCACTTCCTGATGTGTGACAGGGTGAGGTTTGTGCGTGTTCCCCCAGAAGGCAACAGATTCAATGTCACCAAATTTTCAAACATCTGGTTTCAGATGGCTGCATTAGAAATGCTCCTGGTTGGATTTTTTTTTTTTTTTTTGTCCCTACCATGACGGGAGACTTCAGTGCTCTTATCTTTTAATTTGAGTTTTGATCTGCATATTCATGATGTTTCCAATGCCTTGTTTCAACTGGTGGGTGTATAACGAGAAGGTTTAAGCAGTATGGAAATGGCACAGGAGCAGAGGCATGTTCCAGCATTCCACTTAGCCAGCACTGTTGCCTAAGAGTCTGCTGAGGATAGAGTATCACGTTGCCCTGGTATAGTAGTTTAGATTCAAACCTACCACACCTGGTCATTTGTTCAGTCTCTCTGGCCATCACCCAGCCCTGACTCTGGTTGCAGAGGCAGGTGCTTGTATGCAGGGACTGGTAAATAAAAGAGTTTTAAAATATTTTTCTTTCTGGTTGAAAAATGGTACTCCAATTCAAATGTGAAGATAAAATCAGACAGCTCAGCCTGGCATGTGATAAGCTGGCACGGGGCCTATGCCTCAGCTGACTGATAACCATTACAGTGGAAAAATTACCCAAATTATCTTGCTGAGGTAGTGGCTCACTCCACTCAACCTGCCTCAACATGTGTTCTCCTGGCAGAGCCATAAATGGAGTTTCCCGTTCATTATCTTTGCCATAAAAGCAATAATTTGATTTTTTTAAAAATCGTTGTAGCAGCTTTTAAATAGAGGTTGAGGTTACGTAGGCACCCAAAATTGGGGTAGCCTGGAGGTCACAGGATGAGTCGGCAGCTCAGAGGGATCAGCATGACCAAGGTCTGAATGTAGGTTGGTAAATCCAGTGCTCAGCTGTAATGAGGTATAAACCCACCCCCATGGGATTATGCCCATCACAGAATCTCCGTGGGGCTTTTATTTGAGGACAAATATCTCCTGTACATTCCTTCACAGGCTCATGATGAAGTCTGCCCTGAATTCCCGCTGACTTGTGAAGGCTGTGGGAAGAAGATTCCCAGGGAGAAGGTATCCATCCAACCCTGCGCCACAGGGGTGTTTGGTGTCCTGATGGGCTGAGCTTGCCATTCTGGGAGCAGGGAGGAGCAGAGTCCATCAGGAAATGAAATGGGGAGAGCAGCTGAGAGGCAGCTGTTAGTGTGGATGTGAGTTTTCCCTAAGTGTGGATGTGAGAGAATGCGGCTGACTTGCAGGTCAGTGTTGGTGCTGCCACTGCCACCTCCCTTACAACCATGTCTGGGGACAGAGCCTCGGTGGGAAAAGCACACTCACGGCTTTATGTTCTGTGTAGAGCAAACAACCACTGCTGCAATTTTGGAAGGAGAGCCCATCTTCAGCTATATTAATTGATACCTAATTAATCATCTAATGGAATCCATGCCTATAGCATCCCCAAGCTGCTGGCTCCTGGGGCAAAGCTGAAAAGTCTGAAGAATTCAAGTTTTGGGAAACATTTTCAAAAAGCACAATCATCTGAAACCATCTTGCCTTCTACGGGCAAATATTTTTAGTAGCAGTGTTGGAAAAAGCCCTTCAGCAGGACAGGGGAACAGAGGCAGCAAAAAGAGAAGCAAAAGAGTTCTTCCAAACGGGCAGCATAAGGTGGGGCTAGGGGTGGGGGTGCAGCCCACCTTATCTGCAGGTTGGGGGTTGGGGTACAGCCCTGCTTATCTGCAGGTGGGAGCTGAAGCCCTGCAGGGAGCCAGCTCAGGGGGTCCCCATGGCTGAGTTACCCTGAGTTTAAATTTTAACTCCATGTTTATCTCTCCAAACTGCTGTTGACTATTTGCTGCCACGTTAGCTCTGAGTAACCTGACTCATTACGCAAGCCAGATGGATCTAGAAGCCATTAAAAAAAGTGGTTTAAAACCAGTTTTAATTGACATCTGTTGTAGCAGATGTAGGAGTTAGGTGGGGAGGGAATATGGTGGTTTTTCAGAACAGAGCTCTGGTATCTGATGGTGAAGGGTGTACTAAACCCAAGCTGAAGCTGTGACAGTGCTTGTTGGATTAATCATGTGCTGTGTGGGAACCTGAACGAGTCATCTCAGTGCTGAGGGGTTAGTGGCACCTCTCTGCAGAAATGTAATGCTGGGATGGAAGTAAAAATACCAACCTGTAGTACATCCTGACCAGAGTCGTGTGAAGTGTCCAAAATGAAATGTGCCCTTGTTTCATGGGGTTGTTTCCTATGCCTCCCATTTCTCAAGTGTCAGGGAAGTTCATTATTCTGCATCCACAGCTGTATTCACTGCTTTTTCTCTCTTGCATGTGCAGGTGAGCAGTGAGACCTCCCAGCCATCAAGAGAAGGAGAAATTAAGCTTTCTTCAGGGGTCAGGGCTGTATTTGTATTCCAGTGAAAGGCACACCTGATGGCAGGCAGAGCCCAGGTTTAGTGGGCACTGTGACAGCTGGTGATTAGCCACAGCTTGGGCATTCTTCAGCTTGGCTGCAGTTTCCCAAATGTCAGAGAGATGGAAAGGGAGCACTGTGGATGTATAAGATCTAACATTGCTTTCCTTCCTGCCTTTCAGTTTCGGGACCATGTGAAGACGTGTGGCAGATCCAAAGTACCTTGCCGGTTTGAGGCTGTGGGCTGTGCTGAGGTGGTAAGGGCTCCTCTCTTGTGTCACCTTGGGCCTTTTCAGTCCCAGCATTAGAGTTCACCCACAAACTGCCGTTGCCCAAACTGTCACATGTATTTACCTTCAGGTATTTGATTAAACCCATTGCACATAGAGCTTCACATCATCTGCTGTGCAGAGTCTGGGTGTCCCAGGAGTAAGATTCCTGTGGAAGGGAATCTTCTCCTACTTTAAGAGCACCCTAAGTGCTTTAGGACTCTGGTGGCTATTCTGCTTTCAGGGGGAATGGCTTCACACTGCCAGAGGCCAGGTTTAGATGAGATTTTTAGGAAGAAATTCTTCCCTGTGAGGGAGGTGAGACCCTGGCACAGGGTGCCCAGAGAAGCTGTGGCTACCCCTGGATCCCTGGGAGTGTCCAAGGTCAGGTTGGATGGGGCTTTGGACAACCTGGTTTAGTGGAAGGTGTCCTGCCCAAGGCAGGGAGTGGGACAGGATGAGCTTTAAGGTCTCTGAATCCAAGCCAGTGTGTAATGACTTGTGATTACAGTGATGCTGTAAGCAAAGAACTGGAGCAAGGCCATATTTCTTTATGACACTCAGTTTTTGCAGGTCCCACTCGTTCATATAAATCCCTCCTCCAGGGAGTTTTGTGAGGCTTTGTTCTTTGTTGCTTTTAGGTACGTCTGACAGAGCTTTTCTGGGAGGGGTCGGAGGAAGGTAGAGCAGACCAGTACAGCTGGAAGTGTTTAGCATCCCTTACTGTATGTGATTGAGGCATTTCTAACACAAAACAAAAACACACACCACCCCCACCAAAACACATTTTAAAATTCTTTCTTTGTTTTTTTTTCTCCTATAAATGTAAATTTAAAGCTGATGTTGTGATGTGGATAGGAGGAATTTGTTCTGTGGATGGTTACAGTGTAGATTGCACACGCTGAATAGGGGTTGTATTTCTCTTGCTGTAGGTGGAAAATGAAAAGCTCCTGGAGCATGAGAGGAAGTGCTTGACAGAGCATCTCTATATGCTGCTGAGCTCTGTGCTCAGCCTCAAGACTGGTGCTGGGGACCCGAAACATCTTCCTGTCCTTCCCTCGTCACAAAACAGCTCCCCACTGCTGGCAGCAAACTCACTGTGCTCAGAGTCAGAGCTCTCCCGGTCCCTGGAGCTCTTGGGAAGGTGTGAGGCCCTCGAGAGGAAAACAGTGACCTTTGAGAACATTGTCTGTGTGCTCAACCGCGAGGTGGAGAGAGTATCTCTGACAGTTGAAGCCTACAGCCGCCAGCACCGTCTGGACCAGGAGAAAATCGAAACATTGAGCAACAAGGTGTGTAATGGCCTGCCTGGGCTTCCCAGCACTCCCAGCAGAGGCTGTTTCCCGTTTCCTTTCTGTGTCATGAGCTAGCAGAGCTTCATCACCCGGCCCTGAAACTCCACAAATCTGAAGGCAGGACTAAAATACCCTTTGTGCCTGTGCCCAATCCTCAGCAGTTTCCTGGAAAAGCTGGGAATTTAACTGACCTGCATAAAACATCAGATCTCTGTTAGTTATCAAGCTGGGCAAGATACTGAGGGGTTGTTTTTCAGCGAAGTTTTCCAGCAAGAGCCAGAGCATCCAGAATTTCACTGCATCCCCTTGTGCTACATCTCACTGAATCTGTGGGGCTGCTTACCTTCCAGACCTGTCCAAAGGAGTGCTGCCTTTCCCAAAGGAGTGTCATCAGTGCTGCTACCTGCAGCAACAGGATAAAGGTGTGAAGGAGCTGCCTCCATCAGTCTGCTCCAGCAAAGTCCCTGTGGAGTGCTCCTAGTGTTCCTGGCACCCGGAGATGTGCAGTTTGCAGTGTACCTGTACTCTCTGGGCAACTGATCTGGTGTGATCCTGTGTGAGCTGGCAGGGGTGAACCCTCCAGAGGGTGTAGGTTGTTTTCTTTCTCAATTTAGTTCTGTCACAATGCTGAATTTTTGGGGATTTTTCCCCATCCTCACTTCTTGTGCTGCTCAGCCAATGGAGCAGCTCCTTGAAAGGAGTTTGACACTGGCTATGGGAAAGTTTCCAGCTCAAGCACTGAGCTGTATCGATGGATCTTCTCAAGAGTGACAGGGGGCAGAAGGAAGCTTCAGTGAATTGGCTTTTGTTGCTGGATTTCTCCCTCCCGTGCTCCCTGTCCATTCTGGAGAAAGTCTCCAGAGGTCTGGGGTCTGCCAGGGTGTGCTGGCTCTCTCCCAGAGCCCGTGTGTTTCTAACCTGCACCATGTGTCCCACTGAGCAGGTGCGGCAGCTGGAGAGGAGCATTGGGCTCAAAGACCTGGCCATGGCTGAGATGGAGGAGAAGATTCGCAACATGGAGGCTTCCACTTACGATGGGGTTTTCATCTGGAAGATAACGGAGCTTGCCCGGAAGCGTCAGGAGGCGATCACAGGCCGCTCTCCTGCCATCTTCTCTCCAGGTATGTAAAATCCCCAAAATCTTTTGCATCTCAGCTGGGTGTGGGTCTTGTAGCAGGTCCTTTGCTTGGGAAATGCTGCCAAGGCCAGGCTGAGAAAATCAGGCCAAGAAAAGAAATATTCCTTGTGGAAGGGGGTGTTTTGTCTTGGAGAGTGAAGCAGGCTTGGCAGTGCTGTTCCAAGAGGGAAGAGAGGGCTGAGAGGAATGAGGAGCAGGCTGTGGATGGGATGAGAAAGGGAACTGGCTGTGATTGTTTGGTTTGCATTAAATGTAACATCAAGGAAATACCAGCTGATATCTGTGTTAAAGCAAAGGGAAGTAGAGTTACTGCTTGCAGTGTTGTGAGGACAGAGTGATTGCCACGGGGTTTGGCAAAGGACAGAATCTTGAGTTCAAAACAGAAAATTGTACAAGGAGCGTTGATTCAGGGCCTGACCTGGGACAAGCCAGGGTGGAGCCCATCAGTCTGGGGTGGGGGAAAGGGGGAGGGCCTTGCTGGGTTCTTGCTCTGCTCCTTGCCTGGGCCAAGGAGAGCTGGATGCCCAGCTATGTGGTCCCTCTCCCTGGCTACTCCCACTACTCTGGAGCCTTCCTCCTGTTGTTCAATGGGTTTTACATTCAAAGGGTGATGGGAGTGCTGAGAAAGCCCAGAGGGGCAGTGGGGATGTTCTCCCTGGACAAGCAGAGGGGTCATCTGTCCTGAGAGCCTTTGGGTGATGCAGGTGGGGAGGAAGGAGCAGAGGAAATGAGCTGGGGATTGCCAAGAGGGACACAGTGACAAAGACCCGATCTGCTCCTCGCCCTGTGAAAGAGCACAGTGTCTCTGCTATTCACAGTCTGCCTGTTGGGAAAAGCACCAAGTCCTGCAGTAAAATATTGGCTGTGACCTCTGATCGCTGCCTGTGCCTGCTGAGCCTCACCAGTCCCAGATGTGCTGCTCTGTGCTGCTGTGGGAGGGTGACTTATGGCAGGTCCCCTTACAAGCTGTGACCCCACACAGGTCTGGTGTCACATCACAGGCATTCCCAAGACTGCTGGGGAAGGAAAGTGCCCGAGATCCCATCTCGGCCATGCCCAAGCCATGCCATGGGCATCCAAATGAAAACTAAAGCTCACTTGTTTGAGCCCCTGCCCTGACCAGAGGCATCAGCTCACAGTGGGGGTGCTGAGGGTGCTCTGCCCCCAGCCAAGTGCTTTGTGAGGGGGGATTGTTCCTGCTCACCAGTGTTACTGCCATAAATCAGATATCCTTCAGCACTGGAGTGCAGGCCCAACTCTGGGGCAGATCTCCCCTGGCAGTGAGGGAACAGCCAGGGGCCTGGCAGCAACTGCTCTGTACACAGCATCTGCTCAGGCCAGGACCTGCACTGTCTGGCCTTGGGCTTTCCAGACCATCTCTGGTGCAGCCCAGAGATTCCAAATTTAAGAGCCCTCAGAGTTCAGAGAGATCTGCTGGTGCCAGGCTGTGCTGCATCGGACCCTCACTGTTCCTGTTCCACACTTCTCTGACAGCTTTCTACACCAGCAAGTACGGCTACAAGATGTGTCTGCGTGTGTACCTGAACGGGGATGGCACCGGCCGTGGGACCCACCTGTCCTTGTTTTTTGTGGTGATGAAGGGACCCAATGATGCGCTGCTGCGGTGGCCCTTCAACCAGAAGGTGGGTCTGGAGCAGAGCCCACTGTGTCCAGCCATGGCCTCTCTAGCTTGGCACCCACTCGAGCTTCTTGGCACTGTCACTCTGGCCCACTTGGCAAGGCAGAGGAAGGGCCTGTGCTGGCTGCCCTGGGGGTTTCCCAGGTGTGCTGAGAGCACCGGCTGTGCTGTGGGGCAAGGGAGTGACATAGGATGTTTAGAATCCCACAGAGCCTCTGTAGGGGTTGAGGACAAGGGAAGGTTGTGGTGGATTCAGAGCTCGGGGACAGCAGGTGCTCACTCCATGTCAGGAGTTCAAATCCCAGTTTCTGGGCACTGCAGAACACATGGAGACCGAGTGAGCGGGCACAAGCCTGTGCAGAGAGGACAACAGCCCTGGCTCAGGGAAATACCTGTGTGCAATGTCAGTACTGAGAGCAAGGTGTAGGTTTTCAGTCAGTCCAACAGCCCTATGCTGCCACAGGGAAGTTTCCAGTGACGGGCAGGATGTGGGGATGGGGAAGGATTCTACAGGACATTACTGAGGTGATATTCTCTGCTGGCCCCACTCAGAGGCATTTCTCCGATTTGCAGATGTGCAGGGTGGCTGTGGCTGCTGGTATCTGCACGTGTCGCTGGGCTGGGCTTCCATGTGTCTTATTCAGCCACTCCCCTATGTTTTCACCTTTCCCCACAGGTCACCCTGATGCTTCTGGACCAGAATAACCGGGAGCACATCATCGATGCCTTCCGGCCGGACGTGACATCCTCATCCTTCCAGCGCCCCGTCACGGAGATGAACATCGCCAGCGGCTGCCCCCTCTTCTGCCCTGTGTCCGTCATGGAAGCCAAGAACTCCTACGTGCGTGATGATGCCATCTTTATTAAAGCCATCGTTGATCTCACGGGCCTCTAACCCTTCTGACCTCGGAGCAGTGAGCATGGAACCAGCACTGCCCAGGGCATCTCCTGCTTGTGCTGCACTTCAGGCAGGTCTCAGAGCGAGAGGGGGCGGCACAGAGAGGGGAAAAGCCCTTCCTGCAAAGGGACCTTTGCTCTGAGTGGAAATGAGGTGTCTGATGGGAGCCCTCTTTCCTGAGGAGAGGGTTGGGTGGACACTGGCAGGCTGTGGGATATGGAAGATTCCCTGCAGGGACTTGGGTGTCTGAACTGCTGCTGTCTGGACTCCAGTGGAAACTGGAGAGAGCGCTTGCTCTGCCAGTTTAGCCAGCATCTACAGCTCTCTGTAGTAAAATAGTGGTTTGCCCTGCCTGAGCTCCACCTCCTGTGGATTTTGGCTCAGCTGTCTAGGATTTCCTTCTGAGATCTCTGTGTTCCTGGAAGTTACATGCTGTGAGGTGCCATGGCTCTGCACTGCTGGTTGCTCCACACCCCAGGAAACAAGTAGGGTGTGTGACAGCTGCAATGCCAGCTGGGCAAGAAAGACACACACTGGTTTGCTGCCGTTGGTGTGTTAGGAGGGTGTTGAGCCCAGCTGCAGGCTAGGGGAGCCCTGAGTCCAGCCTTCACTGGGCGTGTAATGGGTGGTGTCTGCTGGAGTGTGGAATGGGGCAGGAGGTGCTGCTGCCCAGGAGGGACTGTGTGTGGCAGCATCAGGGATGCCTGTAGGGAGGGAGAAGTGAGTCTGCTGTGGAGATTGTCCCTCCTGTGCCAGGAGAGGAAGGTGACACAGAGCTCAATATGCACCTTGAGAGCCCCATACCCTGCCCCCCTCTGCCCTCTGTGTGCTGAGCAGTGCTGGGTGGAATGGGTGCTGTGCTGGGAGCTGTCTTTGCTCATAGGCAGAGGCACAGGCTCTGAACTGGCTTCGCTGCCATGGTGGGATAGCTCCACCAGCCTTCCCAGGGCTCTGCTGCTGTCGAGCTCCACGTCCTGGGCACTGCCACCTCAGGCAATGGGATGTGTACTCTGCCCGTGCAGTGAGCACTGCTGGCCAGTCCCTGCCCTCCCACAGGGCCTGCAGTCACCAGCAACAGCTCTCCCTCACTGTTCCTCCCCATCCCTGAGCTCAGGACTCATGGGCCAGGTGGCTCTTTCTCCACTCAGTGCCATGTTGAACATGCAGCCTCCTGGGTTGGATCTGGCTGGAACTGGAGAATTGAAATGTGCTGTCCCCTTTCTGTCCCTGGGCTCCTTCCCTCTGGGCAGCATATGTTCAGTAACCATGAGAAGGTCTCTCCCGGTGTTAGTGGGGAAGAACTGGCTGCCACATCCCTGCATAGTGCTCTCTGCAGCTTTGTTGTGGCTATGGGCGGCTCTGGATGGGCCCTGATCCAGCGTGTACTCAAAGTTTTGTTACCTCCTTTGCTTGGGCTTTCCACACCCCTCTCAGGGGCTGAATGTACCCCAGGAGATGTTTTGCTGGTGACAGGAACCAGCTGTGAACACCCTGCAATGGTCAGGGGTCCGGGCTGGCTCCTGTGGTGCTCCTTGAGCAGTAGGGCTTGTCTCTGCAGGGTCTGGCTGTCCCCCCACATGCTGGCACTGCCCTGATCTGCCCCTGGGGCTGTTTGGAATGTGCCTGCTGCTGCCCAGGAACTCAGGGGTGCCCAATGTCCTGCAGGCTGGCCTGGACCCTGGCCCAAGCTGAACCTCTTGCACCCACAGCTGCTGTGCTGGCCAGGGGCTCTCCAGACAGGTGCTGGGGTGACCTGTGAGCCCCCTTTGGAATTGCTGCGTGGAGCTTCTCACATCTGTGTGCAGGGCCTGGGGACAGACCCAGCCCCTGCTATTGGGGCAGGGGTACAGAAGCTGGTGACAGCACAGCCTAACTGTGGGAGGGGGATGACAGGACCCTTCCCTTTGGGCAAGCCACCCCCCTTTCCCCTGCCAGCCTGTCCAAAGGGACAGATCACGCCCTGTGTTGCTGCTCTCACCCTGTGCCTTATGAGGAAAATCCAGGCTGGCAGAGTCCTGCTCCCATCTACAGCAGCTCCCCAGGGACACTTGGGAAACAGAAGGGAAAGGAAGGTTGACTCTGTTCATAGAATCGCTGAGAAATAAGTTTCATGTGGTCAGAAGCTTGTTCTGTGTTGATCAGAATATCTACTGCAGCAGGGCTGGGGGTTCTGGCCATGTGGTGCCAGGTGGGACTATGGAGGTGCTGGCTCAGCTGGGGGATGGGGGCTGCTTTTGGGATAGGAGCTGGTCCTCCTGCCCCAGCACATGTTTGGAAAGTTGTTGGGAGAGTCGGTGCTGCAGCAAAGCTCCAGCTGAGCCCTTCAGGCCACAGAGTTACTGCTGGAGGGGAAACATGGCCTGCCAGCCCCTCCTGCTGAGAGCTTTATCCTCCTCACCCTTCTGGTGCTGCTGATGCTCTCCAGGCCTTTTTTGGCTTTTAGCAGCTCTGGAGCTGGCAGCAGAATTGTGCTTATGTGCTGCAGGCAGGGGCCCAGCCCCTTCCTGGCACAGCTCTGCCAGCCTGGCAGCCACGCAGACAAGCACTGGACATGAGCCACCGCTGGATTTTTGTGGGGTTTTTTTCCCTTTTAACCACAGCATCTCAGCCTGGCACTGTGAACTAAGTTTTGTTTTCTTTGAGGGTGCAGTATGGTCAGAACCACTAATAAAAGCTGTTTGAACAGCATTGTTGTGTAGGAGCCAGGGGATGCTGGGCACAGCATTGGGGGGATTGTCTCAGGGTAGGGGGGTTTCTGTGCTGGGGGATTATTTCTGTGCTGGCAACTCTCCCCAGCTCCTGCCTCCTGCAGGAGGATTCCCAAACAAGGAGGAAACAGCAGGGGCTGTAAGGGGAAGGGAAAGAGCTGGAGTCTGGCTGCTGGAGCTCCACTGGGCGCCAGTGTAACAGCACCGGGCACGTGGTTCCAATGGTTCTGCTGCTTCTAAGGCAAATCCAACACAATACAACTGGTCCTGAGTTGTAACAGCTCTGAGCTCCTGCAGAACAGGCTGCTTTTCCCTCACTGCTTTTGGGAGCCCAGAACCTGCAGGATGCCTGCTCCTGCCCCTCCCAAGCTGCAGCACCAGCCTAGGGACTAAACCCATGTGGGGGCAGCAGCCTGGTGGCCTCTACTCACTGTGTGTGGAAGAAACAAACACAAGGGATGACCATGGGTGCCTGTCCCCTCTGGGAAGCCCCCAGACCCCCTTCATACCACAGCAGCTGCTGCACCAGGGAGATACAAAGGGCAATGAGGGGACAGTGGCATTGCAGCTCAGGAGGCTGCTGTGGCACAGGAATGCCAAACAGCACTGGAGGGCTTTCTGCTTACCTGTGCCTGTTAGTGCTTGGAAAAACATAAATCCAGGAGGCATCCAGCCCCTGGCCTGTCCTGGAGCCTGCAGTGTTCAGCCCTGGACGCTTGCTGCCCTTCAGCCATCCTCTGCCTCTCTCCTGTTACTCACAGCTGTCTACCCACACAGCCCAGGGCGGGCAGCCACAGGCTGGGCAGCAGCTCCTGCAGTGCCCCAGCCCAGCCTTGTGACAGTCCTGGCCTCAGCTCTGCCTCAGCAGAGCACTGCTCAGAAAAACAAGCTCACATTGCAGAGATGCTTTAGCAGAGTATTTATTCAATGCCAGAGTGAAGAGCAAAACTCAGTACAAACAACACCTCAGTGCCTCACTCGCTGCTGCACGGAGCCACGGGTGGAGAGTTCACAGTTGGGGGAGGAGGGAGAGGCTGTTCCTTCACAGTGTGACTGTGCGGGATGTGGTGCCTGTGTGCACACACACATGAAGGAACCCCTCATTTCATGACAGAAAACCTGAGTACAGGCATTTTGGATGAAGCTGGGGCACAGCAGGACACAGGTGCCGATCCTCCTGCTGCAGAGGCTGCTAAATCCATCAGTGCCATTGTGACAGAAGCTGCCACCTCCATCAGGTCTATCAACAACCCCAGACTGGGAATGGCACAGGAACCTGCCCCAGGGCTTCCAGGGAGGGCCCAAGGTGCCTCCCCCTGCTGCTCCTTCCCAGCCCTGCTTCCAGGAATGACAGCAGCTCCTTGGGGCCCCATCTAGGCCAGATCAAGATAAGGAGCTTAATTTTAGACACATTTGGGTACCTGCTACAGGGAGAGAGAAGCTCAGGGGACAGACAGTGAACACCACTGAGTCTGTAGTAACTCCAAGTGACCATCCCCACTGCCGGTGGGGTCCCGGAGAAGCTGACCGCCTCCATGGCAGGTCAGCCTCAGGGACAGGGAGCTTATTCAGCTGTCACTGCAGGCAGGAGGGCTCCGTCCCCATCACCTGCAGGTGAATGAATACCTGCAGCACCTGTGGGTGCCTACACCTATTTACAGAGAACATACCTAGAGAACCTGAAGTGCCATGATTGGGTAGCGTGGGCAGGAGGTGAGCTGTCCTCACAGGTACCCCAGAAAGGGACAGCAGATCCCCCACAATAAATACGTTCCCGATCCATAGCTTATTGAAGTGCAACTCAGAGGAAGACAGAGGCAAAGCCAGCAGGAGGGACCACCAGCCCTCACCCCTCCCAAGTTTGGAAACTGGTGATACCAATACACAGACCCTAGGGCCAGGCAGGCTCCCAGCCCTGACCCTGCCACCCCCTCACTGCCCCCAGTCCCTGCTGCCCTCCCGGGCAGAGGTGCCATGGGGAGGAGGCACTTGACATTCCCCAGCAGCCAGACAAGTTGCCCATGGAGCTTTGGGACAAACACACATTAATAAAACGCCAATATTAAGAGAGTCCTGCAGTCAGGCAGCGCAGCTGCACTGTGGCCCCTGCCAAGTACTCTGCAGCTGGTAACTCCCAGTGGGGCCGGCCACGTCCCCAGCTCACACAGAACCACACTGAACGTGCCTCAGTGTCTCAAGCCCAGAGCTCACCCAGAGAGCTATGCCCAAGTAGCAACGCTGGTGAGAAGCTGTGGGAGCTCACCCTGCAGTGACCAGCTCAGCTGCTGCCTGACAGATCCACGACAGGACCCCAGCTCTTATGTCCTATCTGAAGCCAGTGCTTCAAGGAGGAGGCAATTCCCGCTGCCAGGCTCAGCCATAGGATTTGTGTGCCTAGAGCTCATCTCTGTGCAAGGCTCAGGGCTCTGTGAGCTCAGGAGGTGCTGCAGTGAGGAAGCTGCAGGAGCAGATGTACCTGGGTTCAGCTTTTCTGGTTCATGAGCCAGGAGAAGAGCAGTTTCCTGGGCCGGGGCCTCCTGGCCTGACGGATGCGCACAGCCCGTGGGGACCGCCACACTTTGATGGTGGTGTCATCACTGGCTGTCAGCAGCAGCTCCTGCTCCACTGGGCTGAATGCCACTGAGTTCACCACGTTGTCATGCTGCAGCTTCGCCAGGCAGATGTTGTAGTGCCGGTCCCAGATGTAGCCATGTCGATCCTCTGCCCCACTGCGGTGGAGAGACAGTGGTCAGGGTGTCCCACTGGTCCCAGTGTCAGCCTAACAGCCCCAACCCTCCCCACCCCCATCTTTCTGCAGGGATGGGGGCATAGGGTACCCAAGCCCCTGTCTCCATGAGCTTCATCCTGCGCAGGCAGTTCCCTCTGGGATCCAGTGCCCCTCAGCTCACCCCACAGCACCTGCAGCCCCAAGAAGGGCATTTACCACCTGCGACCAAACACACCACCAGCCCCAGATTTACCTTTCCTCAGGGATTTACAGCAGGATATTTACAACAGGACCAGGGCAGTTACCTTTTATCAGCACTTTCCAAGTCAGTTACCCTGACTCCCATTCCCTGCTCTGCTCCCAACACAAGGGAGTGTTCTGCTCACCCGGCCATCCCATAGCAACTGCCCCAGGGTGTCCCAGATGCAGGATCAGAATCCTGGCCACCCCCTCACCTTGCTACAAAGTCCCTGCTGACATCCAGGAAGATGAAGAAGCACTCCTCATTGGGTGTGTAGGCCCGGTGTGCACGCAGTGCTCGCTTCACCTCCTTCATGGTCTTCAGGTCAAACACATGCAGGTCGATCTCCTCAGCAATGGGAGGTGGCTGCATCGGATCTGAGATGACACAGTCCCGTGGCCAGGCCCGGCTGTTCACATAGAGGTACCTTGGGGAGGATAGGGATTGGTTACCTGCACTGTATCAGAGTTCACAGAGCCCCCTGGAACAGCAGGGACGGAGCCTACAGCTCAGCTCACTGAAATCCAGGCTGAAACAGGGAACAGGCCAGGGGTGATGCTCAGCAATAACACACCATTAGCACCTGGATCAGCAGGCACTCAATCCACCCACCACAGTCACTTCATGTCCTGGTCACCCCACAGAGCCTGTGAGCAGCTCTTGCCCACCCTGGCAGTTGCTGAAGCCCTCAGTGCTCACCGGTGGTCAGGGGAGAGGCCCATGCCAATGATGTGCCCATGGATGTCGATGACGTGATCCAGGGAGTCAAAGAACTCATCTGAGCGCCGTTCCTCCCCCAGCACCGGCCCTGCAGTCGTCATCTGATGGGGCAGGATCCTTTTAATCCCTGTGGGATAGAAAGCAGAGGGAGGCAGTTCCATATGCTGCTGCCAGAAGGGCTGGGGGAGATCCCAAGCTTCAGGGAGGGGATTTCCTTGGCATGACTAAGTAAGAACCAGCTTGCTGGGCAAGGTCTGGGACAGGGCTGCTGTCCTGGCCAGGCTCCTTCAGCTCTCCAGGTGGGCTTCAGGCCAGGACCTTGCCCATGAGAAACATCCTGGCACATCCAATCCCAGACAGGGAGATCCCAGTGGGATCAGCCAAACCTCACCTCAGCCCATCTCTGGAGCACATGGAAGCTGCGTTGGCCCAGGAGACACGCTAGTTGTGGAAAGGCTTTTCTCCTAAATTATTCCCTGGGCTGGGCCCATTCTCTGCAGTAGCCAGCCTGGAGCAGCCCAGTAGATGCACTGGCTGTGGCAGACTTTTCCCCTGACACTGTCAAGTGCAGGTGGGGATCTGTCCCAGAAAGCTCAAAGAACAGACATTTAAACCAAAATTGTGCTCAAGTGATTTGTAGCTTCTGAACCCCCTGACTAAATGAGACAAGTGATGGGTCAAGCCCTGTCCCCTTCCAGCTCTGAAGAGGTCCAAAACACAAACAGCTTCACAAATGGTCCATCCCCAATGGCTTTCTGGAGGACCCCTGTGAGCCTCAGTAGCTCCTGGGCACACACACACACAGGCTTCATCCTCAGCAGGTCCAGAGGGAGCTGGAAGGTGGCCCGGCCCATCCCATCCCATCCCATCCCATCCCATCCCATCCCATCCCATCCCATCGCCCCTCTGCAGGAATTGCTAACATCACCTTTGATTTTAGCCCTCTCCTGCAGCCCAACAAGACATGGGTGACACCCCACTACAGCTCAAGTCCAAGTCCATTCCCAATATCCCTGTCCCTGAGCTTAGGACCTTTGGGACAGGACTGGTGGTCTTCCACCCCACCAGTGCTGCTCACCAACATTTTCATCCTCACTTCTGCAGCACCATGCTCCCCGTTCCAAACTCAGACACACATGAGTCAGCAGGACAGGCTGCTCAACCTGGAACCAGCATGAGAAATGGGAACTCAAGATTTCAGGCTGGAGCAGCACTGCATAGAATGGGAGGTGAGCAAAGAGTGAGCTCCTTCAGGTCCTGTGGGCACAGAGCAGGTGCACAGGGCCAGTTC